TCCACACATGCCCTCCCATGTCTTGCCGACAGTCTTGTGCCTTTCAGCATGTTTTGTGTCCAAGCAATGATAGTCTTGGACACCTGTCGTTCTTCCATGGCTTTCTCTATAGCCGGATTCGAAGTGCTATCAAAAGCCCCCTCAATATCCAAAAAGGCGCCTATGGCAAAACCCTTGACCGCCAGTTGTCCCTCAATCAGTCCCACCAGGTGATGTAAGGCGGTATCTGTTGATCTTCCCTTCCTGTATTAGGGTTTCTCGATACACACAAAAATATCGATACAGTGTATTGTACCGAACTGCAGTGTTCAGTATCGATACTCAGTTGTATCGACAGAGTATGTATCGATACCCGAAATATCGATAATTTGCAAGGTGACAATCAAGCAAAAAAATTTCAAGTTGAATAATATCATGCCGAACACATTACATTCTCAAATGAATTATTATTTAAAAGTATAAGAAGAGGTTCTATGTAGCAAAGAGTAATATTTATTCATTTCTTTGGCCTTCATTGATGTACAAAGTGAAAATCCGTATGGATACGAATATAGTTATAAATTATACGACCAGAATGATCCATTGACCAAACAAGTATGAAGCTTTTACATACTTATTCATACGTAGATATAAAAAGCACAACATAAACTTTTTGAACTCATCGCAGTTCATGAACGAAAAACAGTTTAACAGTCCCCTAGACGCCATTCTTTTATCGAAAGAGATTTCAAGTACAGTATCATTGACAGATGCTCCCGGCTAAGACGATTACGATTTGGTGTAGCAACGTTGGATGCTTTCGAAAATAATCTCTCGCATGACACAGACGAAGCTACAGTTGATAAATATTTTATCGCTATCTCTGCGAGTCTGGGACATGCACTCTTTCGATCAACCCAGTACTTGATGGGATCCATCTTTGCTTCATTCTTCGTGAGGATGTATTGCTGAAGATCGACGTGCAAATGGCCCAAAGTAGGGCAGATGGATTTTTCTTCTGATTTCGAACCCGAGCGAGGTGGGGACTCCAGAATCCCTGATCGTCTGTGGTTTCTTCAGCAGTCGCATTTTCTGATTCATCATCACGAGTGGTAGAGATAAGATTATTAACTAATTTCCCCACTTTACTGCATGTAAGTTGAGAGAGGAAATACATGCGCTTAAATCTAGGGTCCAGTAACAACCTGCATTGTTCTGGAGGGAATGGCCACCAGAGGCTTTTCTTCCAACTTACAGAATTGTTTACCAAATCTTATAGTAACGATTGCTGAAATTTCTTGTCGAGCTCAGTCGCGACTCTAGCCTCTGCAATCTTCTCGGTGAGAATACGGATTCTTGGGATTACTCGGCTACTAGTGACATACTTGGCCCCACTGAACTCCTTGGTAAGAAGCTCAGCTGGTCCCAACAAGACCACGACATCTTCAGCCTGAGCGACTTCCTCACGCGTCAACATAACTGGGGCCTTGCTAATTTTCAAAAGTACTGGGCTCATCACATCAATCAGCTCTAGAAAGCGTTTCAACATATAATACGTCGAATTCCAGCGTGTGCAAACTTCTTGAATCAGTCGATAACTAAAATCTTCCTCAAATTGAGCTGCACGTAGCGCATCAGCGTCAGTTGTCGATTGTTTAAAGAAGGTTACAATTTGTTTTACTTTAGTGATCAAATCTTTCACAGTGTTTTGGAGTGCTTCATTCTTGTCATTCCTCTCTTTGCTATTGTTTTCTTTCTCTTTCATTAGATTCGTTTGGTCTTCTTTTTCATGAGTTACATTATTAATACCCAAGTTCAACTTGTGAGCAAAACATTCTCCCTGTTTGTCGGGCCCAAACGTATCTATCATAGCCTTTTTGATATTCCCTCCTCCATCAGTCACTACACCTGTAATCTGCTCCTTTGAAATCTCCCATGTCTCGAGAAATTCTTCAAATTTTTGAGAAAGATACTCTGCAGTTCTACTCTTCGTTAATAACATAGCCTCCAGATCATGAGTGACAAGTTGAAACCCATCCCAGTAGTGGATAGTAATTCCAAGGAATCCTCGAGTTGTATTTGTGTCTGTCCATATGTCGGTCGTTAAGGTCAAGTTATTGACGTTGCTCAATTTATTTTTAAACAGTGTACTCAAAACTGAGTATTTTTGTTCCAGACAATTTGTCATTGCTGTTTTACCAGTTATTTCATAATGAGGAGCAACAACCGATAAGACATGTTTCAAGCCTGCGTTCTCAGTGCAACTGAGGGGCAGATCGTCTTTGACAATCATATACAACAGCGCATTTTTGAGTTTGCCACTGGAAACTCCGCCATCTGAAATTCAATGACAAACTAAACCGCACATTCAGACAGATGCTATTAATCTGAGGCAACAATTGCAAGAAACGTTTTACGAACTCAATAGCCGAGGCTACGCGAAAAGTGTTCGAAATTTTTTCTTGAAATTATTGGTCATGTCGCGAGTGAGTCGATTTATACGTCGAGAAGTTGGTTAGCGATCATTTCATACCTTTAAATGAGTTAATATGGCCGAAACTGTGATCAATGCGAGGTTGTGTGGTCTTAGAAGTTGATGAAGATTGTTCTCTCGCTGTCGATGATCCAAATCTTGGATTGTTAGCCTGGAGTGAATTTTGAGTGTAATTTTACGCACTTCACGAATGAATAAAATGTAATTACCTCCTGATTATCATGGCCCAGTGGATCATCAGGATGCTCGTTGCTTTGGAGATTCTGACCCTGGCGCTGATTAAATCAAATCAAAGGATGGAAATTGGATAGGAATGAATGAAAAATGACAGAATCAGCAATTGAGAAGAGAACGAAAGTTACTGAGGATTCTTTTAGTTCAGATAAAGCTTCTATGACTTCTTTTTCGCCTTTGTGTTTCCGTGTCAGCTGGGCTGCAAGGTTTGTCGTTGTCTTCTCCGATGGTACATGATTTAAGCACAATTTGCATTCTCCACCTTTCGGTGTCTTTACAAAAAAATTCCAAACGATGCTCCTCGTCGGTTTCTTTGGCTTCATGGGAGTTTTTCTATTGTTACAACAGAAAAGAGTTCAAATTATTAGAGAAAAAATGTATAGTTCTGAGTCTTAAATATTTAATAGAAAACCTTATTTCTTTCCCTCGGAAATTATATTAAATTTTCAATTGATATCAATTGGAATTCCATTGAGGCTCTAAATGAAATGGATTGAGAATTCTATTTGTCTTTTACGCATTCATATTTTAAAAAATCATAGAAAACTCTTGATCGCAAAGAATTGTCGAATTCCACTTTTCTATACAATATTTTTTTTCTAGGGTTCTGTTTCTTACAAAAAAGAACGGACATTGGAAAAAAAACCTGAAAATTTATGCCCCGGAATTTCTACAGAAAAAATGTCAACAGAAGTGCACTGACTGCAAAAGAATCAGAATTTCCACGTATATTTTTATAAAAACCGCGAGGGATAGCGAAACCAATAATTTTCTAGAAGAAACACCCACAAACAAATGGAATGTCCAATATATTTCGGATAGAATTTCCATGGAATTCTACCAGAACCTTAATAGCTATGGATCCAAAAGAATTTGTAAGGGAGAGTTCAAGTTTTGCTACAAATGTTTCTCTTACGTTTTTCTATGGCAAAATAAAACTTTAAAAAAATTACCGTGAACCCTTGAGGTCTTGATCAGACCGGAACGTCTTCTTGCAACTCGGATTAGCACCTGAGGAAAATATAATACGTGATACTCATGATCAGGAGAAAGCCTCACAGAAGAATATCAACACAAACCATGTTTTTTTGGTGTCTGTCGTTCATCATGCCTACTCCTCAATTGCTCAAGCTTCTCCCTGACATCTGCCTGAGACTTTGAGGGATGTCCAAGAGGATAACCACTCGTCACTCTGTCGCCAGTCTGTTCCTTCAGCTTAGATCCTCTTGGATGCGAATGTAACGTTGTATCGTCCAAGTGATCACCCTTTTTCGGTGCGTCACTTGAGTTCGGTTGATCGGTGGACTCGTCATTATTATCCTCTTGTATCAACTGTTCACCAACATAATCTCTAATGACGTCACTAGAATTGAAGTTTATTTTATAGAATTATAATCAAAACAGAATCACAACGAAAGCATTCTTCCTGCGATATCTCGAAGGGGGAGGGGATTGTATACTTACAAATGGATTCCATCAGAGCACATAAAAATTTTATCAATAGAGTCATGCTCGTTCGGAATCAGTCCATCTGATAGCAACTCGTAGAAATAGCTTTCTGCCTCCCTTTTGTCTTCTAAAAGAACATTGTTTACTGAGCATAAATAAAGAAAAGAATAAGCAAATGTCGTAGGGTTTTTGTGACACTCACTTGTAATTCTCACATATGTTCTAAAATCCAAACCCTTGATACGAAAAGCGTCTCCATCATCGTTCACTTGGAAGTATATTTGGAATTTCCTTTCGGAGGTGTTCTCTGCAGGATCAAAATTTAACACGTATTTTGGATTCATTCTGGATCATCACTATCAATGCACAGTTTCACAATTTCGTGTTATATGACACCAATGTATAGAGTATTGAGGAGACAATTATTTTTTGAGAACAATTGAATGATGAACAACAACAATGCAGTTGTTTTTCACCCAGGTGTTCTAAAAAAATAATTTATTGAGGTTAAGTTACCTACCAATTACAAAAAAAAATCACAAACTCTTTCCAACTAACTACAATTCTCTCCAAGAACTCTCAATACTCCATTTGGATTAGGGAATTGGTCAATTATAATAATTCTTGACTACTCACCTGCTCTTTGACATTCCATCGTTAATTATTACAACCATGCATTACCGGCTTTCCAAAAGAACTTGCTTGGAATCGTTCTCCTCCAGCATGCCAAATTACAAGATGGCCGGAAAAATTGGGCGGGATTGGAGAGAGGCTTAAAACAATTAATGACTTCAATTATTTAATTTCAAAATATATATTTTTTTTTCAATGAAAATATTGGAATGCCATTCGGTTAATGAGGATTCATTAAGTGAGGGGGAAGATGAATCCTTCAGATGGGCCCTGTCGCATCGATGCGTTCACTGGAAAATAGAACAAAAATTGACGATATTCAAAAGATGAAACACTTCGTAATTTGTTATAAAATGTTGAATTTACTCACTAGTCAATTCCATCCACATATCGCCAGAAAAATTCCATTTCCTCATCGGTGTTGGCCACTAGACCTTCGTCAACTAGGGCTCGGATGAATTCCTCGATGAAATACTTCTCTTCTGAAAAACAATTAATATTATCAATTAATAAAGCTGGATCTTGATGCTGGATCAGCTTTATGATTTTGACACATACTCTTTAGGCGTAAATAAGTGGAAAGGTTCAATCCATCAACATGAAATGGGTCCTGGAGGTTAATTTGCAAGTACATTCTAATGGCCTCGTTGCGTGCTCTGTATAAAGAGAAAAAACATGTAATATGCCAATCAATCTGAGAAAAATTGATCCAATGCACAAATTTTGTCCATATTTACCGGTTATTGTAATTCCATCCATTTTTCTGAAGAGTTGAACTAGATCGAGAGAATTTTTTGACGGAAGAAACATTGGAGCTGGTTCTCAATCACAACGTCCCTTCATTGAACACTTGCCTTAATTTGATATGGATGATAAAAGAAAAACCAAATTTGACTCACAACATTAGAATGAATTATTATTCTTCATTTTTCATATAGAATTTGATAGTAATTTTTGTTTTTTTTTTATTATAGTTTTATGTGTGCTTTCCATGAAAAATATCGATATCGATATGGCCCGAAGAGTATCGATGCACCCAATATATCGATGGGTAAGTATCGATACAAAATATCGTATTTCGCACATAAAAATATCGATATTACAAATATCGATCCTGTATCGAGAAACCCTACCCTGTATGCATATTGATAGGGGGAGAGAGGTCTGTCAGCCAAGGGCCCAGCCTTGATGTGTCTATCCACCAGCCTCTCCAGGGTCTTCAGGATGAAGGATGTGAGGCTTATAGGACGGAAGTCTTTTGGTTTTATATAACCGGTTTTTCCAGGCTTGGGAATGAATACTATCCTAGTCTCACTCCACACACTAGCGACATGTTTCAGGGCTATAATAGCTCTGCGTATCTTGGTTAGGGGTCCCGTGATAGTCTCTATCCCTTCCTGTAATAAGGTAGATCCCGTCTGGTCCCGGTGCCTTGAAGGGTTCAACGGTTTTGATGGGTCACTTGACCCCCCAGGGCTGCACTACTTTATTTGCCAATGCCCAATCATGGGTTTCGTAGACATCCCTCTGATTTTGCATTGTTTCTTTATCCCTCTCCTGGGCCTGTATGAAGCCTGGAAAGTGGGTGTTCATTAGGAGTTTCAGAGTCTCTCCCATGGTTTCCGTGTGGCTGCCATCTGGTGCCTGTAGGCTCCCTAGATATGGAGTCTTGTTTGTTCCAAGGATTTTTGCCAGCCTAGAGGTCTCCGATTGACTCTCCACATTGCTTGTGAAAGCCCTCCAGCAGTCCTGTTTGGCTGCCTTTATTGCCTTGTTGTAATCTGCGAGCAAGCCTCTGTAAGTTTTCCATGCGTCTTCCT